CATGAAAATTGTAAAGACATATTATGACGTAAAGACAGACCGGTAGTTGTGTTTAATCTAGAGCTCATTGAAAATTTGTAAGAGAATTTCAGGAAAAGTAGAATGATGGCTGTTTTGGAGTGCAACAAACTTCTGAAAAGATTTCCACGTTTTTCTACTTGAAAGGTACTGAGAAAGACATTTGTAACTTCATCCGTAATTGTGATGTGTATCAAAGGTGTGTATGGTGGATTTTTCAGCCTACTCAGGTCTTTTACAACTGTTACCTATTCCTCTCAGTTCTTTAACAAGCATATCTGATAGTTGAAAATAAAAAATTTGAAGATAAAGATCAAAGCTGGAAATCTGGAAATATGAAAAATAGAATTTTTTTGCAAAATAATTTTCTGAAGAATTATATTGCTACAAACTTAATTAAAAATTAGTGAAGAAATAAACTACATTTAAATAAAGGATCATAACTGCAAGAAGCAAGCCACGATCTCCACATACTGGAAAATGAAAAATGAATCCTAAAGTCTAAGAACTGCTATTGACTTGGTAAAAGATAAACATGCAGGAGTGCAGTTTCTAAAGCACAAATAAATAACACTCCTTGCATTAGGAGCTGCAAACTCCAAGTTTTAATCGAAGAAGCTCAAACTCGTTTGCTGGAAGCCACTTTGTAAAAATATCAGCAAGCTGATCTTTAGATTTGCAGTGAATCAAACTCACTTCCCTTAAAAAAAAAGCTTGATCTTGAAATGTTTGGTTTTACCATGAAAGACTGGATTATGAGATATTGCAATTGCGACCTGATTGTCTACAAAGACATTTGTTTCATTCAATTGCTTAAACTGAAGATCATATAATAACTTTCTTAGCCACAAAGCTTGATTTACTGCTGCTGTAGCAGCAATAAATTCGGCCTCAGCAGTTGATTGTGCTCTGATTTCTTGCTTTTTGGAGCACCAAGAGAAAATACCTGATCCCAAACTAAAATAGTACCCTGAAGTGCTCTTCATATCATCCACAGATCCACGCCAATCGCTGTCTGAGTATCCTATGAGCTGCAAATTTTGACAATTTTTGAACTTCAAACTAAAATTAACAGTCCCTTTGATATACCTCATAACTCTTTTTGCTGCTTTAAGATGCATTTCACTTGCACAATGCATGAAGCGAGAGAGAATGCTTATAACAAAGATGATATTTGGTCTGGTTGCAGTTAGATATATCAAACATCCAATCAAGCTTCTAAAATAGCCTTCATCCACCTTATCAGTGCCATCATCCTTGCTTAGACTTTCCTTTTGACTCATTGGTGTTGTTGTTGCCTTGCATTCTTCCATGTTGAATTTTTTCAGTATTTCTTTTGCATACTTCCTTTCTTTACTTTGTTTGATTTCAATTCCAAGGAAGTAAGTTAACACACCATGGTCTGTCATTTCAAAAATCAGCATCATCACCTTTTTGAATTCATCAATGAGCTTGGAATTGTTACCTGTCACCAACAAATCATCAACATAAAGTGAAACAATAAGAACATCATTTCCCTTTTGCTTAATATAAAGGGTGACTTCGGACATGCTTCTCATGAACCCTAAGCTTAGCAGACAATCATCAATCCTGCTATACCAAACCCTGAGAGCTTGTTTCAAACCATAGAGGGTCTTCTTGAGCAAATACACCTTGTTTTATGTCATTTTTCAACAAATCCTTCTGGTTGCTCAACAAAAATCTCCTCCTGTAATAAACCATTTAAAAATGCTGATTTTACATCTAATTGGAATACTTTCCAACCATTTTGTGCTGCTATGGCTAGCACCAATTGAATGGTTTCCAATCTAGCAATAAGGGCAAATGTGTCTGAGTAGTCAACCCCAAATGCTTGAGCATATCCCTTGACAACAAGCCAGGCTTTGTGTTTGTTTATTGAACAATCTGCATTTAGTTTGGTTCTGAACACCCATCTTACACAGATCACTTTTCTATCCTTTGGCCTTTCAACCAGTTCTCATGTTTTATATTTTCTAATCATTTGCAATTTTTCTTCCATTGCTCTCTTTCACTTAGGATCTCTGAGTGCTTCTTCATTTCCTGAAGGCTCATATACTGCTGCATTGCTTCTTTCATAAATGTCAGAGAGCAGTTGTGTTCCACGAACTGGTGACTCATCTTCTGATTCGGACTGCCAGTGATCAGCTTCTTCATGTGGTAAGCTGATGGGAATACTCAGCTTTGAGTTTTTCAAATGATTCTTAGACTTTGATGAGTCTTTCCAATCCCATTTTTCTTCTTCATGAAACTGAATATCCCTGCTAACTCTCATTCTTCCTGTTTGTGGCTGGTACACATTGTAAGCCTTTAACACTATACTATATCCCATGAAGATTCCTGGTATAACCTTCTTATCTAACTTGTCACGCTTCACTTGTGGTATATGAGTAAAACATATACACCCAAAAACTCTAAGGAAGGCTAGAGATGGTTTATAACCAAACCATACCTCAAATGGTATTTTGTCTTTTAAGGCTTTTGTTGGTAGCCTATTTTGCAGAAAAACTGATGCATTGGCAGCTTCAGCCCAAAAACATTTTGGCAATTCTTTTTCATGCAACAAGCACCTGGTCATCTCCATAATGCATCTGTTTTTTCTCTCACTGACACTATTCTGTTGTGGTGTATATGGAGCTGTCAGTTGGTGCTCAATACCTGCTTCTTCACAAAACAAATTGAACTTTTCTGACGTATATTCCTTTTTATTATCTGATCTGATGATTTGTATCTTTAGCCCACTTTGATTTTTTACCAATTTCTTATAATCTCCAAAATAAACTAGCCACTTCATGTTTAAATTTCAAGAAATAAATCCAGTACATGCGGGTAAAGTCATCTATAGATATGACATAATATAAATTACTTTTTAATGAAGGCGTTATTTGAGGGCCAGCAACATCAGTGTGAATTAGCTGAAGTTTCTTTGAAGATCTCCATTGGACTTGAGGAAATGGTGCTTTACTTTGCTTACCAAATTGACAAGCATGACAGTTAGACAGATTACCATCAAAGGCAGGCAATCCGGTTATCATCTAATGCCTTTTCATCTGCAGCATACCTTGAAGATGACAATGTCCAAGTCTCTTGTGCCATATCTTGATGTTATTGACTTTAGTGGAATAGGCAATGTTCTCCTCCTTGGATGGATTGAATGAGAAGCTTTTCCCTTTCATTCTTACTTTGAGAATCTCTTGACCTGAGACATCCTATATATAACAGAATTTGTCTTCAAAAAGTACTTTAAAGCCTTTTTCAATCAATTGATCTACACTCAACAGGTTTTGATCAATATCAGGCACATAAAAAACATCAGAAATCTTTTTTTTGCCTGAATTTTCAGTTATAACTATTGTTCCTTTCCCTTTCACGGATATGTAGTCACCATTTCCAATTCTGACTTTACTGATGTCAGTTGGATTTAAATCCCTAAAGAGTTTTCTGTTGTTGGTTATATGATTGGTACACCCGCTGTCAATTAACCAACCATCAGTTGAACTGCTGCCGGCAAAGCATGATGCTACAAAAATATGATCTTCATCTTCTTGATTTGCAACTTGGGCTGCAACTTTTTGCTCTTCATCTTTTTCTCTGCAGATTACTGCTTCATGTCCAAGCTGATTGCATTTGGAGCACTTAGCATCGGGTCTTCTCCAACATTTGAAAGGAGGATGACCCTTTTTTCCACAATGTTTACAAGGTGGATTCGATTTTTTCTGATTTCCATTTTTTCCTTTGACATTGGATGATTCTGTACCAGTTTCACTTCGCTCTTGATCCTTTTTTTTTCTTCTTATTTTAGTTTGCATTTTGGTGCTTTGCCGCCAAAGCTCCTTCTATCGATGTGTTGTGTCTCATCAATCTTCTCTGATCTTGAGACTGGAAAGCATTGAGCAATTCTTCCAAGGTGATATTTGATAGATCCTTAGTGTTCTCCAAGGTTGTAATGGTTGTTTCATATCTCTCAGGTACAGTAACTAGAATCTTTTCAATAATTTTTGAGTCTGTAAATGTAGATCCGAGAAGCCTTACCTTGTTTGCAATTGATAAAAGTCTGTCAGAATAGTCTTTAATTGTCTCAAAGTCTTTCATTTTCTGTAATTCGAATTCTCTGATCAAGTTTAAAGTCTACATTGCTTTTATTCTTCAATCACCAGCATATTCCTCTCTCAGATAATCTCAAATGGCTTTAGCTGTTTTAAGAGACATTATCCTTGTAAAGATCATTGGTGACACAGCAGCAAACAAACATGCCCTCGCTTTGGATTTCTTTGTCTTTTTCTCCTTATGGGTCTTGATTTGAGCGACAGTGAGATTATTTGGCAAGGCTGGAACATCATAATCTTCTTCCACAGCCTCCCAAAGGTCCAAGGCCTCCAAATATGTTTCCATTCGTACTGCCCACATTTGGTAGTTGTCTCCATCAAAAATTTGTGGAGCAATTGAAGAAATACTGACTTCTCCATCCATGGCGTCTGCTGAGTTCACTCTTGCACACACACAGGTCCCTCAAGAAAAATGCTCTGATACTAATTGTTAGTTGAAAATAAAAAATTTGAAAATAAAGATCAAAGCTGGAAATCTGAAAAATAGAAATTTTCTACAAAATAATTTTCTGCAAAATAATTTTCTGAAGAACTATATTGCTATAAACTTAATTACAAATTAGTGAAGAAATAAACTACATTTAAATAAAGGATCATAACTGCAAGAAGCAAGCCACGATCTCCACATACTGAAAAATGAAAAACTGAATTCTAAAGTCTAGAAACTGCTATTGACTTGATAAAAGATTCCAGTGAGGGTCTTTTCCTAAATCGCATGGGAAGGAAACTACTTAGAGGGTAGTGGATTGATTAACGGAATATGCACACCTTTAAGCCATTGCACACCTTTTATCAGCTATTACGATAGCCAAACTTTTCACGAACATTATTTTCAAATCACATGGAGTGCTCGAGACTTATCAATGATCAAGATCCTATTTTCCTAAGCTGATTAGGAAAGAGTTATTCAAGTTGCAGGAGTAGAAATGGAAATTTCCACATCCTATCACCTACAAATGAATGGCCAAGTAAAATGGTTAATCGATGTCTTCAAACCTACCTATAATTTTTATGCCAGAAGCAACCTTCTACGTGTACCCATTGGCTTTCTCAAGTGGAATTGTGGTATAATACCAATTTTCACATCAATTCAAACATCACCATGTAAGGCACCTATGTCTATCCACCTTGTGTACATATTCACTAAATTAAATGTGATTTTAAG